GATCTTCCATGACACATACATATCCGTAAATGACAAAAAGTATTCGCTTCATTAGTATGAACCATTTAAACCACAAATTGCAAGTCAAGGAACTTTGACCCAACTATCTACGTTTCTGTAATGAATGTCCGGTGCGCGTGCGTCGTTGACACAGCCCACGTTCCGGAGTTAACCGATCATTAACGACGAGTTTATAAACCTGTCTCTCCGTAATGAACTTTTCGGGGGTGGGGGTGGGGGTGGGGGTGGGGTTGCATCTGTTTGGTTCAAAGCGGTATCGGCAGTCGACTGTTCAAATTTCAAGCGGACTGTCGTTAAAAGAAACATCATTTTTCGATACTAATTTAATTGATATCAGTTCTTTGACAACAATACTCTTCTTTGTGAAGATTTCTTAAGTCGTGATTATGCTTGTCGTGAGAAGCGACCAGCGGGATCGGGTGGTCAGGCTCGCTGACTTGGTTGATGCAATATCATTGTATCCAATTGCGTAGATCGATGCTCATGATATCAATCACTGGACTGTTTGGTCCAGACTCGTTTATTTACAGACCGCCGTCATATAGCTGGAATATTGCGGAGTGCGGCGTTAAACAACAAACAAACTATGTGAAGATCTAAGGACACCTCTATACGGGGTGAACTACTAGTATCTGATCAGCCAATCAGCGTCAAGACTTCCAAATTGTCGCGAGCCATGCATATCTTATATCTGTATCTCGAACACGAGCTAAAATGACAAGTTCCGGAAGTAGAAATACAAGGCGGCGCCATTATATTGTTGTGGGTATAATATATAGCCTGTCGTTTCTGAGCGCAATCTACATCCAAAGTAGTGTACTAGTTAAGGTACAATTGTGTTCTGTCACTGTTTACTTTGGCTAAGATCAAAATTTTCGATTCGAGGTGGTAAAGAAATGAATCCGAAAGCTGACATCTGATTGGCTCAAAACCCTACACATCTTTTAGGCTGGACTTCGCGACATAGAGCTATATATATATGTGCCTGATTCGACGGAAGATTTGTGACCGACTATTTCATAGTATCAGGATTTACTAAAAAAAGAAATAATTATTCACTGGACATACTAGATGTTTTGAAAATACAACGTGTTGCACTCAAAAAAATAGTTCCATGACCCTTTCCAGAGAAAATAATTGTTCATGAAGGAACAACGCGAACCCCCTACGACCAACTCTTGTCGCAAAGACCACTCCACCCTGTACTTCAGTTGCAAATTCTCTTGTTATGACCAAGAACTATCTATTCCACGTGTTCTGAGACGTGTGAGGACCATCTCGACGTCGGCCGGATTGTTTATGTTGGTGTTCTCCGTGTTTCCCCTCCACCGTGTGTGTAGATGGTGTTGTATAGGGAGTTCCCCGCGTATCCCGCCACCCCGTGTCATCAAATCCGCTTAATGACTGCGTTTGTTCTTAAACTTCAATGACTGTCTGATAATTGACTTTCCCACGGCTGTCTTCAGTAACCCAACTCCGAGTGAACTGGGTCAAGAAACGCTATTCAAAGATATTCATGAAAGTAAACGCGAACTCCTAGATGCGTAAATGGACATAAAAGCGAACACCTAGATACGTAAATGGACATATAAGCGAACACCCATCCTAGCCTGCATGTATACAAACTTTACGCAAGTATTTTACTACGGACACCAATAATAACAGGACACCAATGAACCTCATGATTTCGCACTGCGCATGCTCCCAGAACGTCATTATTACCCCGCCTCACAGATCAGTGGTCTTCTCAGCTCCCTGAGGAGTATACAGCCCAACGCCAGAAAGTTTCGCATTCAGATTTCTGTCTCATCCTACCGGGTATCCATTTGCCGCTGGTTTAACATGAAACAATCTTCGAATGCATTCACTTGCCGTTACAGACACGCATGTTATATGTCGCCTGCGATTATGTGTTGGGCAGAAACGAAGGCCCAGAAGCTCTTAGGAGTCAAGCTTGCCGAGCGTGGTCACCCATCCAACCCCATTCCGCCGCCAGCTTAGCTTAACTGCATCTTATTTGTTAACCACAATGCGATCGTCGACCCCGGATGCCAGAGAACAATGGAAAAGTAAGCAGGCAGTTAGTTCCCCAATGAACGCGTGTCTCCACTTGAAACGGGCTTCACACATTTTACCCACGTGGGCAATAGAACCCAGGCCTTCGGCGTAACGAACGAACGCTTAAAACAATAGGCATACCGTATTCGACGTAATAAGCGCTCCGCTCTAATAAGCGCCCACGGCGATATTTTCTAATATATTAGCTAGCGAACAATCCCAATAAGCACCCCTTCCGATTGATCAATGTACACATGACTTATTTATTCGTGTATAATACGTATGTTATATGCATTCATATTTATGGGAAATTAAATTCTGGAAAAAATATATCTGTCGTATATAAACATTTCAGGCTGTCAGCATAAACCACGAAATTTACGATCTTTCAACTCTGTTGTTTTTCACCAAAATAACAATCATTCTAATAAGAGCCCCCTATTTTTTCACTTTGGGCGCTTATTATGTCGAATACGGTGTATATTTTTATGTCAAATAATGCGTGTTTCTTAAGTGTTCGTTCGTCACGCCGAACACATGGGTTCAAGTCCCTACAGTGGTATAATGTGTGATGTGGCTGGAATATCGCTAAAAGCGTTGCAAAACTCATCTCACTCCGTCTCTCTCCCCGATCTCACTGAAGGCGTTCACCGTTACACCCGACACTGTGAAGTCAAACCCAGGTTTCACATGACGCAGGAATAGTTACATCCAAAATACTTCATATCAATGTTTCAATGAATCATATTTGGCGCAACCTATTTTAAGGAGTCAGCTCTAATAACTACAAAAAAACATCCATGAAACTACAGAAATTGTGTTTTTTTTAATACAGGATTTTCGATATATTATTTACTATTATCAATATCTTGTAGACTAAAGTTTAAACACCTTAATGAATCTAATTTGTGCCCATGACGCACAAAACAATATGCAGTGAGTCACGGTGACTCATGTTTAAGGAGAGGTGGTGAAACCCTGCGCATTGTAAGTCAGATCTTCATTCCTGTAAAACTTTTTGTTCCAGTTGATGTTTTAAAATACGCATATCTCCCCAACATGTTAATAAAAAAATGTTTGTTCAAGGTTACAACATTTAATGCCTCAGCAAGATTTCAAATGTTTTATGGTAGACACCTGAAGTGAATTTCTAAATATGAGGCATCAGTGACTAAAATGATATCTGATGCAATTCCCTATTGAGCTGTTTTCCTCTTTTTATTCAGGTGAACAATTGACTTGCCTTTGCATGTATTCGTGACGGGTGCCACCGGTGAAGCAGGTTACGCTCACATTTTTGCAAACACCTGGTATCATCACTATCTGATAGCGATTCGTAAACATGTGTTCTTGAACAAGTCGGAATCGTACTATGGACTTCTTTTTGTGACGATTTCTTATGAACGTGGAAAAGGATTTTGTCATTTTTTTATATACAAGAGTCACACAATGTCAATAGACCTTCCACATCGTTCTACTGAACTAATTCATGTATACGGGTATCCGCTCCCTACCTAGTCAGTGTTATATGCTTCACAATTTCAGCAACAGTTCAACTTATTTACAGTAGCATGTACACATGATGTTTCCCCAACAAAGACCCTGCTCTCTATTTCCCGTGTATACGAGTACTTATGGATTCACTAATCTATTGTCCTCTGTAATGTGGCCTGTGGGTCAATTGGTTTCCGCAGACGAGTTGCCCAGGATTCGGTTTACATACAGGGTTTGGACTGTTAGTTATGATAATTCGAGTCGTTGAATCAAGGTTCGAGCCGGGTACGGGTATATTGCCTAGTGAAGACGATAGACCTCACAGAGATATGAGTATACGATACACATTTCTGGTCAATATTTGAATATGTAATAAGCAAATTATAACTATTATGCTAACCGAAATAAGGCTTAAGTTTGTATCACAATGAATGTACTATTCGTATTTATTCTATGGTCTGAGATAGTCGTATTTGTCGCTGATTTCAGCATATTGCTGAATCATTCTGATGATAAAACGTCTGTCGGTTTCTTTAACAGTGTAACACGATAATCACTGGTCCGGGAGGAAATAGATGAGATCATTTAAAATAGATAAAAAAGAACATATATTAAAGTTATGTTCATTGCGACAGGTTTTCCGTGTTGGGGTTTCTCACAGTGAACTAAAGCTGGCACATGTATCTGTGCTTGATTTGGGTTGGAGTAGTACAAGGTTGTGTACTTTGTCGTATTTATTTAATTTTTTTATCATTTCTAACTCTCAGCTGCACCAAATACCGACACAATCAAGTATGGGAGGTACTGTGTATATACAGTCAATATCATAACACAGTCATGCAGAGCGGGTATCTAACCGCGGGGTGGGACAGTTGAATACGTCTGTACCCATATAACATGGATTGGGATCCTGTAATTCTTTTTCCAACTCTCACACGTTATACCTGAAAAGTGTACATAAACCTAAATACACACACACACACACACACACACACACACACACACACACACACACACACACACACACACATTCATTACCACATAGCTCATATTTAGCTTATATTTATAAGATGTTTAAAACGCAGTTGTTAACAAATAATTATGTCCTATATTTAATAAAAATTAATTATTTGAGAAGTGTTATTTCTCAATATAAAATATAATGTTTTCTTATGATGACCAATGAACAATAGTGGTATGTGATTTGCGTAAAACAAGTTTGTTCATCTGTTTCGATACGTTCGATCTTGAAAGATTACGGGTAAAATTCCTTTCATTTTTTCAACATTAACGCGCACGCGCCAAACCTACCTTTCCTTGGAAGTAGGTAGTCCAGTCATTCACCACATGTTACTCCTAGAGCGGGAATGTTTAAGACATTGTGCACATCAAGTCTGTGCTGCGCATCATCCGGGATACCTACCTACCTTATATCAATGTTGTCCTCTCCTCCACCGCGTCACTGGTATGTTCACGAGTTGTGTTGTTTCCCAGTCTTACGCTCGCATTATCTTACATCGGAACTCTCTCCCAAACTCTCCTATCTCTCGACCTCTAATGAGGATCGCCATAGCAACTCGAAAACCTTATTAACTAAGGTTGATGAATGTGTGTGGTTTGTCAACAAAGGGAGGCAAACACTGAAGCAGATACCGTTTGCCTTGGAAAAAAAAGTACCCGAATAATGTTCAACCTGCTGAACAATCTTCACAACATACATCTACAGAGGGGAGGCAACTGTTAGAAAGAACGTATATTAACCTTTTAAAAAACATACGATAGATTCGACTATGATTAGTACGATATAAAGGGAGATAACTACTATTGAAGGAATAATAATCTAGCCCTATTGAGAGAACACGGTGCGCAATGTTTAATTACAAGTGAACGGGTAGATATAGCGTCCAGCCTGTTCTCCTCAGGCGAGCGTTCTTTCAAGGAGATGTTTACCTTAGTACGTTCACAGATGAGTACGACTCTGTAAACCTCTCGCAATAATGAGAACCCCTATGGAGAATCACAAATGTCGCCAAGTGTCTTAAACAAAGTGTAACGTAATTAAAAAGAAAACTCCCGTTAAGGGCATCGTTGAATGTTGTCCGGGTGTCAGTGTCTTGTGCGCTGAAGGCGACGAGATATGCCGAGGGCGGGGAGCTCTTATTTTGTGATACCTAGGCAGAAAATCTGCTTGGTTTGAAAGAAAAATAGATGAAAGAGTTAACGACAACAAAACACAGACAGTTTAGTTTTGAGAACACAGGTTTTGCAACTTTAATGCACATGTTGAGACCACGTTTCTTAAGATTTTAGAGAGTGATGGATTGTGAGACTTTGTAAACGCCCAGTGATATTACAGCTTTATCACGACTGTCTGTGAGTGATCAAGTCATGGCTAGGCAAACAATGGTCTATAGCATGAACATCAACCAACGATGATGAAGCACCATGACATTCAATGAGCCAGTTCACACGACTCATTCCTGAATTTGATATATTTTACGGCAAGCATTGGTTTAACTAATCCTAAACTTAAAGGCTGTTTGAACAATACTTTAGTTAAGCCTGTCGGCTTAATGTGTGAGGAAAGACACAAGTGATTCAGGTCTGAGACGTTAGCCATGTTTGTGAAACCCACGAGCATGGGTGGTTATTAAAACATAACCGGGGGGAATCTTGGTTTCGAACCTACGATCATAGGTTTCTGGCACGCCTAAGGGAGGCAACTCTGCATAGCGAAGAAAATATGTTGAACTGTTCTCCATATTTTACTCCCGTATGTGAGTCGCTATATGGCTGAAATAATGGAGATGCGACGTTAAATTGTAAGTCACTCAATACACCCGTATGTAACAAACTACAGGAACTCCTTTTGGTATAACCCTGACAGAATATAACGCTGTTTACTCAAAGCTACATAGCATGGCATAATGGGGTAGTTATCAGAGATCGATATACATGTACACACATTCAACAAACTTCAACGTCAGCTGGTTCTTCCCGGATAGCACTACTCATATCTCACTCTACTACTCATTAATTAACACTACCAGGGTGCGCCGGTCAACTTGGCTACATCTTACTTGGTTACATCTTCCCGAGGCAAGATAGTTAACTGACAATAAAAGTCCAGTTTCCACCCTTGCCAAACTAGGCTGGTATTCTTGAGTTACATTTTGGCTGGACTAACGAGTCTATGCATAGTCCAATCAAAATCGCGCACCGAAATCGAAATCCGGTTCGTTAACTGTCGTGCAGAATTCGGTCGATTGCAGGATTTGCAAAGCATGTGTACCGCCAACTCGTTGTCAGCAGATATTTTCCAAATCTTTTCATGTTTATAATCAAGGTGACCACGTGATTTGATGCATTTCCCGGTGTAAGACCCGTTTTATCACAATATAGATCTTGATTATCGATCAGATCGTCCTTACTTGGCGCCACCATTTTGTGTGAATACACAAGTGATACGAGAGGTGGAATCTGATTGGTCCATAGGAGAGGCTTAGAAGAGACATAACTGGTAATAGCCACTGGTGGCGCTACGATCGAGCCCAGTAATTCCAGCCTAGTTCGGCAAGGGTGGAAACTGGACTTTTAAAGTCAGTTAACTCTTTTGCCTCGGGAAGATGACTTCGTTACAAGTGTTTTGCTTTTTAAAAAATCAGGCTCATTGATTTATATTATGAAAATGGTCAGTCACTTATCTTTTTTCAATCTAGTCATTAGCTCCGGTGTTAATGCTGACTTACGCATGGTTGGCTGGTATGAAATAAAAACCATTTGCAAAAAGAAAGAATGAAGTTAACAGGATCCAAACCATCACAAACAAATCAGAACATTAAGCTGTTTCGGAAAAGATTTCACGCGAAAACTAAAGTGGTAAACATCTAAGACCTGCATCCCTTAGTGCACTCCTCCCACATTTAGCTGACATGCCGTGACATTAATGGAATACATTTCAAAGCGGCGTTAAACCTATCTTACTCACTCACTCTGAATAAAAATATTATCGCATCAGCTCTGGCTTTTTATTGAAAGGGTTTTCAACGACGGATAATATTTTACCGTATGTACTCTTACACAGATATTAAAAGTGGCCATCAAGAAACCTTTATTGTGCCTTCATAAATTTCACGAAGCGTTTTATACAGTATGCATAGCAGGAATCTGGTTTAAAAAGCGGAACATCGGTTTTAATGATATATTTCTTACTTTAGTCCAAAATGTGTATCAAAGAATAAAGTGGGTCGTATGGAGGTATGTCCTCCATGTATCGCCTATATCTCCTTGGAGTAAGACAAGGGGAACGTGTGTCACCAGTTCTTTTCATATCTGTATTCCCGTGGATGTATAGGGGTAAATCTTGAGTGGGTTAGTTATGCATATGATAGTGTTATTTTTGACGGACATGCTGATGGTTTACGAAACGTTACAGATACATTTATGATTATAGTAATTCATGGACATTCTGATATAGTGGTGGCCCTGCACAAAATAGTTAGTTAAGTTTCTACGATGGTGATAAACTGTTTGAAGCTGTTGATAGTTATACAGACCAAGGAATTAGTGTACATAGGAACAGGAGATTTGTAGATGGAATAAAATCCTTAACTGAAAACATTGCAACCAGAACTATGTACTGCCTCCTGGAAAATACTCGAAATCTACACCTACTTGTCGATTGTGTGCTCACAGCATTTCATACAAAAGCTGTAGCAATACTGTATATGGTTCCGAACTATGGCGTTTGGGAGAAATTAAATGTTGTGGAAAGAGTTCATTTAAATGTTCTCAAACTTGCATCTGAAATTCGCAAACCGATTTATATAATGTAGGGTGAGCTCCTGAACCCATAAATATCCCAAGAATACATACGTGTTTTAATCTTTCCTATCAAGTTGATATTTTAAAGTTATCACATATACTCAAGTACATAAAGTATGATTCTGTTAGAAACTTATATGCTCATCCATGGCTGAACGTGGTTAAAACGAGCTTAAGTAATGTTAATACATAACCCGTCCTCTTGCACAACACCTTGCCAATTCTCAAAGGTTGACCAGATTTTAACAGATCAATTTACTCAAAACTGGAAAAGTAACAGTCGCTCAAGTTCAAAAGGATTTATAAAAATAATTATTTAAATAACTACTAGAATTTGTAATTATTTACCTCTTTCTTGAGACATAGCCTTGGCCAAACTTAAACTTAAAACTATAAACCATAACCTACCTGTTTAGACTGGCCGGTGGAATGATGGACCACGTGAATACCGACCATGTAATGTATGTAACTCTCCTGCAGTTGGAGACAAATTCCACAACTTGTTTAAATGTGATGCACTGTTACAACCCAGATTAACCCTTATCCCCGTACAATACAGACAGAGGCGCAATTTATTTAAATTAAGCAAAATGTTTACAAAAAAATAATATTAGAAACCTGAAAAACCTGTCGGGATTCGTTGCCAACCTGCCTGAATTAATCAGTAAACCTATGTGAAATTAATTACCTGCCATCTTGATGAATTGTTTATGTCAATATGTTGTAAATTGTATTTCGCTCGTGTTGGTGTTCTTAACGAATAAAAGTGAAGTAGAGCACGTTGACGGTATATCCGACCTCGCTATAACAACAGTGTGCTGTATCAACTTCGTAATAAATGCATGCTACTCTCTCTGACACGGTATCCGTTATTACACCATGATGCGATATCGACCTCGTTATAACAACGTGATGCTCTATCCGACTTCTTTGTAACATATGGAAGACGTTCTAAGGGCTCAATGTTGGCGTATTATTCAAATGATGACACAAACATGAAACTTTTTTTATTAGTATTCTTGTTGGTATGTGTATAAAGATATAAAAGCGCGTCTTAGAGAAAATCCAAGATGGCTGTCTAATTTCAAGATGGCCGCCAATTGTCATATTATGTGTTTCTATCATAGACATTCCTAGATATTGTCCGATTTTGGCGATCTTTGTGTTGTTCAAAGTGTTCAAAGTTCATTAGGATGCCGAGCGTGATGTTGCTACTTTGAAACGTCACAGACAGATAGTTTCATGATTACAGGAAAACATCAAAACATAGACCGCCAATGACTTGTATAGTTCTGACTCACTTTCATGACTAATATTGTCTGCAATGAACTGTGATTTTGACCATATCCCACTGGTTTGACTCTATTTGTGTAAAATGTAAAATAGTGTTTTTGATATCCCCAATAGTTTGGTAAGTTTACAACATGGAGAAATATGTATTTTTTCAGACGTCATGGTTCGAAATGGCATAACAATGGCGTTCGTGGTATACTTTGCAAGATTACAAATGTATTCGTCTAATAAATATTTAATTTGAGAGTACAGCGCTACTATTCTGGATTTATAGCTCACCTCAATACTTTAACTATCGCCGATTTGCTCAGTTTGTATTCTGCATCCAACCACAGAAGAAAACAATCAAATTCGTTGTCCATCCAGCTTTCCAGTTGTCAACCTCTTCCAAACTGAAACTATGCAAGGAAGATGTGAACGATTTGCAGTAATTTTATTTTGTCAGTATATTAGCGAGTGAGTGAATATTGCTCAACCCCACACCAACAATCGTGCAGCTGTTCGCGTCTATGTCGGGATATTAATCAGGGCGACCGCCTCCGTGGTCTGGTGGTAGAGAGTCCGCCCGGAGAGCGGAAGGTCCAGGGTTTCGTTCCCTGCCGCGTCATACCAAAAGACGTTAAAAGATGGTACTTGTTGTTACCCTATCTGGCGCTCGGCATTAAGGGGCTAAAACAAGGACTGGTCGGCTCGGAGTCAGTATACTGTGTCTGAGTGGGGTATCCATGTTAAACTGCGGCATGGTATCTCAGTGAGCTAGCACTATAAATCGACATCAGTCCGGACTAGTACAAGCAGCCACACAAACACACACACGATCATGCACGTCGCTATATAAGTGCAATAATCTTGGACGCGACGTTAAACCCCATTTCACCTCACCTCACCTTAATCAGGGCGACAGTATTGTCGACGCTATTAACAAAATGTCTATCTGCTGTTAAATTTGCATTCGTGCATCTTCAAGCGTCTACAGTGTTTCGTTATGTGTGCGTAGCTTGATTCTGTTATGACCAGTTATATTTTAACTGAAATTCTGTTAAAAGCTGCATAAATACCAACTCACTTACTCACTATCATTATCCAGGATGATGAGTTGTGTTTTTAACACAGACATTGATTCTAAACGGATTCTATCTAGAAATATATGTATTTCTTAAACACCAGGAAAAAATTGTTAAGATCATATTTACCGGTTCAAGTTGTAAGGTGCCCGTTTCGATCACATCAAACAGTAAATAAAAAGATACACATATGAAATGATTTGGCACTTCTGTTAATGTGCCAAACAGGCCGTATAATAAACGCGATTCAAAATTTAAGATGACCCCGTTGTTGTACTAATGTCTAAAATACCTTGGTTTTAACAATACAAATAATCTGTAGCTAAGATTCATATCTGCATTGAGTTCTCTATAATAATCCTTTGTATCAGGCCTAGAAAAGATAAGGGGAAGCGCCTCTTAGCCTAAGCTTTCAGTGTTACTGTGTCTACCTTGCGTACCAAAGAAAAAACATCAACATGACAAACATGGAGTAAGGCTTTGAAGACGGCTACCGCAGGTTTGACAGCTAGCTATCCATGTTACTGAGTCACGACCAGATTGCCTAAAAACCTATGTCTTAATAAACCTCTTATAACATTCCAGGATGAGCATGGGCCCACCAATAGTATATCCGCTTGCTGGTTCTGTTGTATTGAAATAATTGCAAAACAAATGTCATTCATAATCTTTCGTCCCAAAGGGCGTTAACTCTTTTTGAAATGCGTTGGTTCAACCAGTCGCTTCGTACGTTGGTTCTTCGCTTCATGTGCGCTGCGACCCATTCATTCGTCACCACTCGCCCCTTTCCGTAAACCTGCACGTCCCGGAATAGTGAGTGAGTTAGGTTTAACGCCGCTTTTAACATCATTCCAGTTATATCGCGGCATGTCAGCTTAATATGGGAGGAAAGCCCGAAGTGATGCAGGTCTCAGACGTGTACCACTTCGTTGAAACCCACGAGCACGGGTATGGTGCTGACAAACCTAGAAACATAATTGGAGCGAACCGGGATTCGAACCCACAATCATAGGTTTCTGGCGTGCCCAAGGGACGCAACTCTGCATCTCCGAATCGCGGCGCCTTAGACGACTGGGCCACCCGTGCCCCCTAAAGTCCCGGAATAGTCACGAATGATTGTGAATAGAGATGAAGACAAACTAAATTCGTTTCCTGTTTACTACTGACTGATTATTTGATACCAGCACACATCATATTGTCAGTATTAGTTGAACAGAACCACTTTTGTTCAGGCTGAACTAGAACACGACAAGATGGAGAAAAACGCAAGGAAGTATTTTATCTCAACGTCAGTCGTGGCTTCTAGATGTGATAACAAACCCTGGAAAGAAATACTATCTGTTATCCCAAAATATGTTATATTGATGGACACGCAAATTGTATTTAAATTGGAGGGATATATTTACAAGCTTGCAAAAGCCGCCCTATGGCTCGTGCTTATATAACTACGTGGTTATATATTTATGTGTTTATATAACTATGTGTTTATATAACTATGTGTTTATATAACTATGTGCTTATATATTTATGTGTATATAACTATGTGCTTATATATTTATGTGTTTATATAACTATGTGCTTATATATTTATGCGTTTATATAACTATGTGCTTATATAACTATGTGTTTATATAACTATGTGTTTATATAACTATGTGCTTATATATTTATGTGTATATAACTATGTGCTTATATATTTATGTGTTTATATAACTATGTGCTTATATATTTATGCGTTTATATAACTTTGTGTTTATATAACTATGTGCTTATATAACTATGTGTTTATATAACTATGTGTTTATATAACTATGTGCTTATATATTTATATGTTTTTCTTCGTGTTCAAAAGTCACATACTCCACAGATTGCTCACGGACAAATGATCTGTTTAGCAGACACCTTTGTGTTTCATTGAACGAACTTTATGATTCCCGCCACGCCGATTGGAAATGAACAAAAGTTGTGTCTATTGAATTTTCTATCTACGTCCGACAACAACTGGCCAGAGTTGTGAGAGCTGAAAAATGATCATGATTTAGAATATTGAAAATAACCAAGGCTAAGGCCAAGGAAAATAGAGAAAATCAAAATGAGCTTTATCTATTGTAATTATCTTATCTATGTCACAGCAAACGTGGAGGGCAGTGAAATGTAAAACATTGTGGGTGTACAACACTGTTATTATCAAATTGAATATTGGTGTGATTTATTTTAATTTACTAAATAAAGAAAGAGCGTTCTTGGTAAATGCCCTTGAATCTATACAATACTATTCAATGTTGCATATACTTTTTTGCCAAAACATTTCATGCACCAACCATATTATATATCCATACATTCAATGGCATTAATTTATCAGCAATATTGGACTGGTGTGGTATGGATTTGGAAGTGTATATGTATGACATGTTATGACATGGTATGACATGATGTGTGATGTGATATATGCCATCACATGATGTTGTGTTTCTTCACGTGAGCCGTGGCCACTGGAATACACAATTAACAAATTTGTGAGAATCAAAATTTGTTTTTATGTAGCCTAATTGTGCATGCCCAAAACTCTATGATATTAGATAACATCTCGATTAATAACAGTTCGAATATATTTTTTCAGCTGATAGCGCGTTTGCGTAACGATCAGTGTCGCTCTGTAGCAATAGAGCTAGTCTTCCGATATCCCTTTCGACCAATCATATTCGAGCGCAGGTGCGGGGTTTTCAAAATGGCGGTATCTGTAGGAAGTGGACTGTGGATCATTTTGACATTAGCCGTTGTCCTTTTCTATTTCCTGGTTTTCGATGTTTTCCCAAAGGTTGAACTACTTGCCAGGTTGTTCCTGATAGGAAAACTTAGAGAAAAGGGGAGCAGATCGAAAATATTCAACCTTTTCGACGTTCCAAAGCGGTAAGGCGCCGAGCTAATATCAAACTTTGATTCTGTAACTGTCAGAACCTTTGTCATCACTAGACTCTTTAGATTCTAAGTGGCGTTTCCATTCACTGATCTCCCATGCATCTTCGATCCTTGGGATTAATGGTGTTTATGGTTAGTGTAGGTTGCCTTCAATTGTAAGCACTCGTTTACAATCATTAGGGTTAAGTACATTTTGTCAACCCAGCACTGCTTTACAATCCTTATGGCTGGTTGTGAGTGAGGCAGACAGCCTATTGCTTTACCATTGAAATGTACCCTGTGTACCAACGGTCTATCGAGTTGTACCCAGATTATTGTTGCTGTATTGTTTTGTACCCAAACCATGTCTAAGAGTACCCTGATTGAAATCTCATGATGCATTTGGGAAATGAGTTGAAGGCAGAGACAAGACCTTCATCACATGCAGACAAAAGCACTTATAATAATTAATATGTCATTTAGTTCTGTGGATGTAAAGATTTTTAATTGCACATAACTGTTTTCCATTCAATTGCATTCCAGATGTAGACTCTGTCAGTATTTTATCATTTCATAAAACACGATTCTGTATCAATATCGATGCTGTGATCCTGTTCGTTGATGCATTCTTTTATTAATATCATCAGTTTATTTGGGGGTGAAGCTATTGTGGATATATCTACATTGACTGGCGATAGATTTCTATAATGGGGGTATATTTCGATATGGTCTGGGTACAAAATGATACTCATCAGCAATGCTTGTTTCAGATGGTTCACCCACTTCTATATGCTTGGCGTTGTGGTGAACACTTCCCTGCTTATCCTACTGGCGAGAGTAGTGGTGTTCCGCGTTCCCTTCCCACAGCCAGTGCAGAATATCTTCAACACCCTCTGGGCACCCAACCACACACCTGGTGAGAGATGCAGGGGAGACAACTCAGTTTACTCAACACTTGCTTGAGTTGATTGTACAGAGATTCAGATTGACGCGAATACCCTCTGTGTAAAGTTACTGTAAACACTCAATTGATTTATTAGGCATAAAATGTTTGTTTATGATGCTTGAATATTCTTCAAAATGGGACAAAGGGGATATATAAAAATTCAAAGAAAGTAACTCATTTAAGTCACTGATCATGATGATGATGTATCGATCAGTATGTAAGAAATCAAGAAATCCTTCCAAATTTAAATCCTTTTTAACCATGGTTATTGGTCCAGTGGATAACATTACAATGTAGAATGTGTTAGTGCTCTAGACCTAGTACATGAGTAGTGTGGGTTCCCTTCCACATACAAATTTTAGAACTACAAATAGTACAATGACATGATGGTTACTCCCATACTCTATTTATCACGTTTATAGCACTAAGATCGCTTTGTGGAACAGTGACCTGGTGTGATAATGCTGTCACCTCTGTGGCTTCACATGCTTTGTGTTAAGCAATGTTGGTCGCTGAGGGTCCTTGGATGGGTGGCCGCGTTTGGAAGCTTAACTTATGAGAGCTTCTAGAGATCTGGTCCTGCTCCACACTGAATCATATGTAGCACATGTGGGCTCTCCTTAGACAGGTGACTTGTTCACTGAGTAGTGAATGGGTATCTGGTAGGATGAGGTGATAGTGTGACTGTTAACCTATAGCGCCTCCCTATGTGTGACAGGCACACAGGATGAAAACTGAGTGCACACTGATCCATTGACCTGGGTCATAATAATGTAGTGCCTTGAGCATTCTCTTGGTGAATGGCATCTGAAGCATTATAAATGGACTTATTTTCATGGTGATTTTCGTATCTTTTGCAGAGGGCGTGTCAGGAACAGCTGTTGTGGTGGTGTTGGTGATGGAAGAGCTGCAGGTGTTGCGGCGATGTTACGAGTGTCTGTTTGTCAGTGTGTTCTCGGACAGCAAGATCAGTGTCGTACATTACATCATGGGGCTACTGCTGTATCTCACCTTCGGCAGCTGTATTCTCGCATCAACTGATTTTAACAACTTCAGAATGACAGGTCTCATATTCATATTAATATTATTATGTTATTTTTTAAAATATATGATTGTCTCAATTACACCTACTGAAAAAACCTGCAGTGATCATCATTATCATGGAGCCACCCTTAAATTTCTGGTTTTCTAGATTGCATGTATTTCTTGATGCATAGTTATATCCTCATGATTTACCGTGAGGTGTATGAAGATTCATCAAGTGCTAAGGTATTTGTGGTGGATGTTGCAGGTGTTGATCAGGTGGGCCTGCTGTGTGTCGTTGTGGGCTGCTTTCTCTTCTTCCTGGCGTCAATGTTGCAGCATCAGACACTACATATCCTGTCCAAACTCAGGAAAAGCCACTCTGGTGAGATGACAGGCATTTGTCTATTACGATTTCAAACTAAGTGCCTTTGGCAAGCAAATTGGAAAAGTTCAAAAATTTTATTCAAATTTATTTTCCTAAATTCAGAGGTATTTATTTTATCCTTGAATTTTAACATTGCTTTCAATACAATAATGTTACCGGTAGGCTGAACATTTAAGCCTCTTCCTCTATATTGGTCCTGTTATCAGTTAAATACAAGTTGCTTTACTATGTCGCAGCATTAGTTATGAATTAGGGCTGAGAGGTTACTCGGGTACCCGGGTCGGGTGGGTACTGAGTAGGACATGGGTACCCACAGGACTACCAAGACCTGTGGTTAGTCATGTGATATATAGTTTAATGACAAAAATTATCTAGAACTCTATGGTTACACTACAAGTCACTAATGTTCACATTTCTTTCTGACTATGCACCCATTCCTTCTGATTTTTCATATGATTGAATAAAGATATAACAAGTCAACTTCAGTGTATGCGTGACCAGATCGTTTAATACATGTATCTAAATACGTTTTGCAAGTGCTGTGGTAAAAAAATAAATTCCCAATCGGACATTTTGTATATCTTGAGACCTACAGTGGGTACCCGGGTAATAGGGGGGTGGGTACCCGGGTAGTAAATTTGGACTCGTCCAAGCCCTATTAAGAATATAACAGCATGAATTGGGAAATCTTTTAATCCAATTTGGGCTTTTTTCCAACATTTGTTTCAGACTTAGGGCAAAATATCATGTCCCAAAACATGATGCTCCCACCAATTTTCTTAATGTTTTGGCTGTACTGGACTAGTGGCCATTTCTTACTAAGAACTTGTACATGTCTATAAGGGGGATTTGATATGGAGTGGTAATCCAGAGTATTATATATCTCTGGACCCATTAGACACCAAGGCTTCATCTTAAACCTGATTTAAATGTCACAACCCTTTGAATAACTGCCGAATGATATCACAAATTTTGTGCTGAGCTTGAGATTCGAGGGATGGAAGTGGTGACGTCACTTCCGAAACAAAGCAGAAGTGGGAAACTGGTCCTGGGTGTTTATCATAATAGAATGGAGACATAGTACATTGGATAACTGAAGATTTTATTGAACTGAATATGTCTCTGTGCTGGAGTAACACAAATTCATGCTAACAGGGATTGAAGAGTTATTTCCCTTAGACAGAAATTGGGCTAAACGAAAACTAGCCGAAATACAAGCTTGGGACTTTGAAAGGTTTCTATATGTCGGAACATGATTAAGGTGAATTAATTCTATTTAAATATCTCTTTTTTTTAATTCAACTCAATGTTACCTCTTTCTTTTCATGCAGGAGTGGTGGAGAATCGCCAGCATCTGTTGCCCAATGGCGGACTGTTTGAGTACGTGTCCTGCCCTCACTTTTTCACCGAGATCCTCATCTACCTGGCCATGAACATCGTGGTCCAGTTCCAGCATCAGGCCTGCCTTAGCATCGGCATCTTCGTTCTTGTCAACCAGGTGATCATGTCCCTCATGACGCACGACTGGTACCGCAAAAACTTTCGCATGTTTCCAAAAGACAGAAAAGCTGTCTTTCCTTATCTTTTGTGAAAAACACATCTTGGTATTTCAGAACATGTTTTGAAAGATGAAAATATTTTGTACGCTATTTATATATAGTTCAATCAGTATTTGTATCCTATTTCTCATCTCTGTAATGTTTTATCATGGCCATGTGCATCCTCAATTATTCAGTGTATCACATTTCCGTTTTGTTGTGATAAGTACCCTGGACCCATACTATAGCAAGGCTCCAGAAGGGACGGGGCCTTCTCAATCTCTCTTACCACTTAACTGAGAACTTCTGTAACTCATGAGGTAGCCCAGTTGTCTATGGAGCCGTGATTCGCTGTGCAGAGTTGCATCCCTTGGGCACGCCACAAACCTATGATCTTGGGTTCAAATACTGGTTCGACCCGATTTTGTTTCTAGGTTTGTCAGCTCCACACCTGTTCTCGTGGGTTTCACCAAAGTGGTAAACGTCTGAGACCTCCGTCTCTTCAGGCTTTCCTCCCACATCAAGCTGACATGCTGTGATATAAGAGGCATAAACCCGACTCACTCAGTCTCTCACTCACTGTAGCCTTGTTCCGGAAGTGGCAGCACCATCTCAATCTCTCTTTTCACTGTAACTCACAGAACGTCTCTTGCTTATGAGCTTGAAATCCTAAACCTATCCATTATCCATCATCTTCTGAGGGGGAGTTTGCAGAGACCTACATTTTATGATCGTGATCTCATCTGATCAAACCCTGAATGTATTTCATTGAAGAAAGCTCAGGAATAAACTTTAAGCTAGAAAAGATGGGGTCTTTTTTAAAATGTATTTGCGATGTCAAAGGTCAAAATGAGTACTGGTGAAAATGCTGAATGAACAGGTTAGTTTGATTGGTCATCTATTTTAGAGTCTTCATTATGACCCCAATCAAAACAAAGGTCTGGCGGCAAATGGATCCAAGGTATGTATCATTATAGAAAGGAGATATATTATCCTGGATAATAGAGGATGGCCCATTATGGGTGATAAAAGGTTAAGGCTAAACAATAAAATACTAGTGTTTCAGGTCACATGGACCCAAGTCACCCAACATATATGGGTCAGTAGGTAGTTGTTTTTTCATTTCATTTAATATTTCCTTCAATAATGTTTGATACAGCTCACTTCTTTAGAACTGATGTTAGTTGCAATGTTTTTTGAATTTGTAGGTTAAAATAGCTACAGCAACAATGATATGTGGAAACACAAATGGGTTACCTGAAACAAGTCTTTTTTGTTGACTTGATTTAAAGTTTATTTTTTAGGACAAATTATGAATGCATAATCTCTTGAGTCAAAACTGCTTCTTAGAATGTATATCTAAGCTACTACTACTTTTGTTGAATTCTGTGTTGTATAAAGCAGAATTTTTTAAAGCATTTTACTAGTCAAAAACCCACTTTAGTGCTGATCCTTGATTGGGTGGCTGATGGTGGTGTTTTTCAGTTTTTCTTACTGAACGGTTGTAGTTGCCTTGCTGTAAAAGGCAATTATGCTTGTTGTAAGAGGCAACTAATTGAATTGGGTGGTCAGGCTCTCTGATGTGGTTGATGCCTGTCATTGCATCCCAGTTGTGTTGATTGATGCTCATGTTGCAATCACTGGATTATCTCGTCCAGACCACCATCATGTAGCTGGAATATTTCTGAGTGCGGCAAACAAACAAACAAAACGTAAGTGATCAAGTACTAGGCTATTCAGAAATCCGAGAAAAGGTATTTTTTTCAAATCTGTAATCTAATGCAGACAATAATGTACTGGTTACTGACATATTTTGACAATAATTTGGTATATGCGTTGAATTGTTTTGCTGACTCAACAACTTATGTAAAGCTGTATCGTGTATACATACAACAATTTGCGAATGCTTTGTAGTGTTGTCTGTCAATTTTCAGATTACTGTTGATTTAGCCTGAAGCTGCTATATTTGTCCTAAAAAATGGTTGTGTTTTCCATGCAGATGTTAAGAAACAACTTCTGTAATCTTTTTCTATGTTATTTCTCAATAAGTTGGCCATCTGCAATAAGAAAACTGATAATGATAAATGAAAACATCTTTATAGTTGAACGTTATTAGTATATAGAAACATGAATTGTTAATGCATAATTGAAGTTGCCTATGTGTAATTATTAGTATACTGTATGAGTCTATTGGCACCTGGGTGTAAGTACAATGTATTGCCGCACGTGATGATATTCAGCTAAAGTACACAATGTTTCTTTCAGGCATTTGTTCTCAATTCTCTTAGTTATTGTTTTTCGTTAAGGTTTTTCGAACTGCTTCCTTGGCAGTATTTTATGGTTAATATTTTAGAAAGGTATTTTTTACAAAAATTTATTGTGCAATCAACCGTTCAGTATTTAAGCTTGCTGATTTTTCTGTACACATGTTTAGCAACATTGATATATATCATTTGGCTAATAAATTAGAATTTTTTTTCAGTTTAGTGCGGGTTGCCCCGAACATAGGCATTTCTTGTTGTAGCCCTATGATGTTTTTAATAATGATGTCCGGGTGTTTGAGTTTTGGAATGACTGTTGCCTGACCCCTGTGTTCCGTAGTGTTACACTGATTCATCTATCTGTGTATTCATAAAAGTCGGCCTATAGGGTATTTTTACAAACAGGCTTTGTTATTAAAGTTACATGTGGTATCCTGACGACTGTTCAGAGCTCTGTTTAGACCAAGAGAGACACTATTTAACAGAGTTCCCCTGATAACTATATATATTTATATATAGAACTTGTATTAGGGTCATGACCTGTTACTATGGCACCTATTTATTATTACTATGCTATACTTGTATTAGTGCCATGACTTTTCAGTAGGGTGTTACCATGGCAACAATGTTTGTATTAAGGCAATGATGACTTGTCACCTTGATCATGCTGATGCCTTCCTTTCCGTTTACTGGTATTCATATGGGTCTATTAGAGCCTCCGGTGTCAGAGCAGTGACCAGAAGAGATACGATTATGATGCACAGAGATTATTATCCTGGTTTGTTTCTATATCTTTCTTAAATGTCATGTGTAGAATGAAATATGACATTTATGATAATATCTAAACCCATCTCTTCAAAGTTGAATACATATTTCATTTCTCCTCATCACTTCTTATTTGCATCTATGTATGAGCTGCCCAAAGGGTGTCACATGTTGCATATTGATGCATACGGTCATAACTTCATGTCTAAGATACTTATGATATCTAAGTTACAATAAGCAAGACCTAGCACCTGTGTGCATTATTGACAGCTGCAGAGTTCATGTATGTGTTGACTGCATTCACTCAGTAAATAAAGATCTATCAGGTACAACTTGGCCCACTTGCACAAAGCGATCTTAGCGCTAAGATGATTGTAACTCCAATTCGTTAACATAGGCTTATGATAGTCTGCAAAGATTGCTTTGTGCAAGTGGGCCCTGGTGTGCATATTTGTATGCAAGAAACCAGTTGGTTAATGGTAAATATCTATGTGTACTTGCAAATACACATCTTACAGGAGAAACTGCTGATGCATACAGTGCTAGGTTTGTTAATGGTCAGGTTGACATTCTTTTCCTGCCTCACTGCAGTGAACAACCTCAATTATAATATTTGCTGCTATTTTTGTTTATAGACACTCATATAATGGAAACACAAGCTATGACAACAAACTGCCTTGGGCGCAAATTGCAGTGAATATTGTACTGTTGATGTGTCCCAACACCATATGCTCTGCAGTATTGCAAATGTGAGGTTAATTTATAACTTACTAGCTCTGAATGTATCATTAACAAAAATATATATGCATGGACATTGTTTATCATTTCACTTTGATTCTAAGGAAAATGAAGTTTATGAAAATGGATAACATTTAAGAATGTACATATTTTGAGGACTTATTACTTTTAGCTTACCTAAATCATGGGTCATGTGAGGTGATCTCAATGCATGTTCATCAGAAATCCTTGTCGGGTCATAAACGTTTACTTTTTGATCACTAAACACATCCAATCTTACAAGCTTCCATTGTAAACCTTTCACTAGGAGGATCATCTCGGCATGAGACAAAACATTATTTCTACAAATGTCACAATTACCCCATACTAATTAATCATGTTAACTGACAGTATTTATTGTTAGGAATCATTTGAAATTGTTAGATGTTTTCATGTGTTAGTTTTACCTCAGCATCATTTTATTATGACCTTATTGACATATACATTTGATATGATTGCTTGCCATTTACATTTATTCTAATTTATCATATTTATGAAATTCATACTCCAAAATAAAGCTCATATAAAATGTCTTCTTGTGATCAGTGGGCACAGGTGGCCCACTTGTAAGATGTGCTGGAGTTCATTTTGCAACATTACATCCTTGATTCTTGGTTTGAATCCAGTAACAAATCTTGTTTTGATCCTTCGATTGTCAGCACCCAACACATGCTTGTGAGCTTCAGACAGAGTGGTCAACACACATATACAACAGGCATCACATTGGGTTTTTGTCCTGACCTGTTTGATATAACTTGCGAAAAAACCCAATATGTCCGCCCACTGAGCCAATTGCATGGTGTACTGTTGGCTGACCAGTGTTTCTGTCCACTGAGGCAATGTATAGTGTATTGGTGTTGGCTGGACCAGGGTGTACGGGTGTTGGCATGTCATGTGATCTTGAGAGAGGTAAGGCATTTGATCAGTAACTGGATGTACTTAATCCATGACTGTGCTCAAAGTTGACCCAGTTATTTTCTAGAACCTTCTTCTAAGGCCTCAGTGACCATGAAAATCACACAATCACACTATTTAACTATTTTAGGGCAACGATTGGCCAGTCTATGGTGCACACAGTTAAGAGTCTCATCTCAGAATCCTATGATTATGGGTTCAAATTCCGGATGATTCTAGGTTTGCTGGCGCCATACTAGCCGTGCTAGCGGTAGTAACATGGTGTCGGGGCAGGGTGACCCAGTAGTCTAAGACGCCATGCAGAGTTGTGTCTGAGTTTTTTGCCAGGAAGCTATGACACCTGTGAAAATCGTGTGGATTGATGCTTATGATATCAATCACTTGATTGTGTGGTCCAGACTGGATTATTTACAGATCACTGTCATATAGCTGTAATATTGCTGAGTGTGGCGTTAAACAACAAACAAACAAACAACCATATCCATGTTCGTGGGTTTCACTGAAGTGGTAACTCTAAGACCTGCACCACTTCGGCTTTCCTCCCACATTAGTTGGACACCCTATGATGTAAGTGAAAGACCGTTGACAGCTGCACTGACCCCAAGTAACAATCACTCCTGGCACATGAAGCTGACACGGAGTGATACAATCTTCAAAGCCGTGTTAACCAGATTCACCTTCTCGAATGTTTTCATGGACATCATGACCCTTGAAGATCCGGGGTGAATAGGTCTTCAGCAACCCATGCTTGCCGTAAAAGGCGATTATGCTTGTCGTGAGAGGCGACTTACGGGATCGGGTGGTCAGGCTCGCTGACTTGGTTGATGTATGTCATCGTTAACCAATTGCGTAGAACGATGTTCATGATGTCAATCACTGGATTGTCTGGCCCAGACTCGATCATTTACAGACCGCGGTCATATAGCTGGAATATTGCTGTGTGCGGCGTTAAACAATAAACAAATCATGGACATCATTTGACATTTTGCATTTTTTTTGTCAAGGAATCCCATCATCATCGAAGGCTACGTTGTCCGGGTTCTGCCCAGCCCTACTCGACCTAAAGTAAATTACAGGTCTTCTACATTTGATATTGTGGTACAAAACCCAAACATGCCAATCTGTGCGGTGTGTTAGAGTTACAACCAAAGGCATGTAGTTCAGAATCCGTAGAAGTCTTTCATTATCATGCCCTGCACGGAAGCGAAGTGTCATGCTCCGCCCTGTCGACATGCCGATGGGCCTGAACGTATTTCTGACAGCTTGGGTTAACTATCACTAATCAGATTAACATATCTTTGTTGCAAGCCGCGATCGGAAATCCGAACTCTGAACTGATGACGACGTTTTCAGCACCAACTGATGATAGCCTGCTAGAATTCCCGGACAGTATAATTGTTGACTTAAGTGAGAGTGATTTGGGATAAAGCTAAATGTATGTGAGTGCGTGTGTTTGTTGTTTAATATTCTAGCTACATGTATTTGACCAGCCTGTAGATAATCGATTCTGGTCCCAACAATCCAGTGATTGATATTACGAGGACCGTCAACGCCGTCGGGGTAAGTTAACACGCCATCATCCAAGTCGCTAACTCAATGCATTAAGTCGCCTCTTACGCCCAGGACTGGTTGCTAGGGAACAATTCTAATAAGGAATATCCATGGGTTAGATCAAATAAAACCTAAATGTGACGAAGGTCATACATATTTACCCCTTTGGTGAAACCCACAATCACGGGGATGGTTCTAGGACCATAGTTGAGGGGAAGTTGGGGACGGGGCCCATGATCACCGGATCCTGGTATGGCAGAGGGAAGCAGTCATGTACATTAATTACAGTCTTCCTACCTGTATTTGTATTTGGGTTGTCGACCCGTGAGGATCCGGGTAGAATAGGTCTTCAGCAACCCATACTTGCCGTAAAAGGCGACTATGCTTGTCGCAAGAGGCGACTAACGGGATCGGGTGGTCAGGCTCGTTGACCTGGCTGATGTGTGTCATCGATCCCAATTGCGTAGAACGATGCTCATGATGTTAATCACTGGATTATCTCGTCCAGGCTTGATAATTTACAGACCGCCGTCATATAGCTGGAATATTGCTGAGTGCGGCGTTAAACAACAAACATGTCTGATGTTGGCCCCCCCCCCCCCCCCCGAAGAAATGGTTATTCGATGGTGATGTACTTTATCCGGGTAGTATAATGGTTGTGTTCAGAAAACCGCCGTCATAAGCTAGAATATTGCTTAGTGCGGCGTTAAACAACAAACAAACCAATTTTGGGTATCCTCCTGTAGCTGCCTATGTTTCCCGATGTTGATTAACGTTCACACTGTAAGACACTGGCGTGTGATCCAGATTGAAGTCATTCTCCTACATTCTCCACCGCAGTGTGAAGTCATGATGCACACTGAACTAGCTCTACGGTGCTCTTATAATGGTCTGAGACCGCCTCCGTGGTCTAGTGGTAGAGCGTCCGCCCGGAGAGCGGAAGGTCCGGGGTTCTATCCCCAACCACGTCACACCAAAAGACGTTAAAAGATGGTAATTGTTGTTACCCTGTCTGGCGCTCGGCATAAAGGGGCTAAAACAAGGACTGGTCGGCTCGGAGTCAGTATACTGTGTCTGAGTGGGGTATCCATGTTGAACTGCGGCATGGTATCTCAGTGTGCTAGCACTATAAATCGGCATCAGTCCGGACTAGTACAAGCAGCCACACAAACACACACACGTACATGCACGTCGCTATATAAGTGCAATAATCTTAGACGCGACGTTAAACCCCATTTCACCTCACCTTATAATGGTCTGAAGAGAAAACAACGACATGCACGGAAATCCATTGTAAAGAATTCATGTCAGTGATTTAATTGAGTCTTGTACCATTATGATTTTCAGATTATCACATATTACCTCGAACCCTATTTGGCATTAATCCATCTCGTTACAAAAGCTGTAGGAATCTCAGCAATGCTACACGAAGATGAAATGTTTCATTAGGCAACCCAGCCTGGGGAATCAGCAGCAGGATGTACGGCAGGCCAAGACGACCCAAGGACGCCCACTCTGAGTCGATCTGGCGGCTGATAGGTGTTCTGTATTGAACTATTCTTCTCGCTGTGTGTAACAGACCCAGTGGAATCGAACCGGAATAGGTTTGGAATTAGTAATGCCACAACTCACCTGTACATCATGGGCTGGTTTATGTTATGTATGAAACCGGTTTGGACAGAACGTTATTTTTTCAAGCATTTCTATTTCCCAATTAAGATGGAAAGAAGCCAGACAAGCGTGATTGTGTATCCTGTTGATGTGGAGGATGCAGGAATGGGTAATGGAGCCGAGTCGGTGGCTTGTCTGTGGAGCTCCATCGTGGTCAGGCCGGAAAGTTAATTCATTTATTCATAACAAAACTAAGAAGTACGTTTTCATGTCCGGGCTTCCGTATTTCCATGCAATATTATTTTATTTTGCTACACTATACCGGGACTCGTTTCCTTTCGTTGTTATTGCTGAATCAGTGTCGTGCTGCGTTAGACTGTTCAGTTGATCTAATCACAACACACGACCATTCAAACTAAGAGTGAATGTTGTTTAACGCTTTCAGCAATATTCCAGCTGTCACGGCTGCCTGTAAATGATTGAGTCTGTGCCAGACAAACCAGTGATTGATATGGTGAGCAACGCCCCACGTCGTTGTAGCTCTAGTCACAGTCTGACGATGGTCCAATTTAGTTGCCCGGATCGATTATAATGACATTGGTGTGTAAGCGATTTTATAGGTATGATTTTAGACTATATCATCATTGTTTCAGCAGGAGCATTTGCCCGGAGAGACGAATGTTGGTGATTCGATCCCCGGTCGCGTCTTACTAGAATACGATAAATACTAGTACTAGTTGTTACCTTGCCTGGCGCGCGACATTCGGGGATAAAACAAGGACAGGTCGGGTCGGAGTCAGTATAGTGAGTCTTAGCTGTGTATCCATGATAAAATGCGACATGGTACCTCAGTGGGCTGACAATAAAACCGGCATTAGTACACGCACGCACGCACGCTCGCACGCACGCACGCACGCACGCACGCACGCACACCAGACAGGTGTTAAGAGAATCTACCGTAGTTATTCCCCACAGAGTTTGACATCACTGTTGCACTATGCTGAATGCCGTGCCTGATTTGTTTTTGGTTTGAGAAAGTTACATTGGTATTAGTAATAGTTGGAAAGATGTGACCCATCTTTAAAGAAACTTTATCTTTTGTCCCACATATGTATAATGGTATGCGTACATACGAAATACACAAATAATTATGGATATATTTTTAAAACATTACTCACGGTAAATTATTACCGGCAATTATAAGAGGAAGGGAGCACGCCCAGTCCTACACTTTTTTTTACCTGTCTTGGAGCGCTTGCGCTCCTCGCCTGTAGCCGCTAGGCAGGGTATCAGTCAAGCTCTGTCCGACCTATTTCCCCTTACAGCATTTCGCTGCGATGAAACGTTGACCCATTTCCGTGAAGCGGGTCTGTCTGTCGAGAAGGACGGCGACAGTCCTACAGCATATCGCTCTGCGGGAAACGTTGTCCAAAGTTCCGTGTAGCGAGTCTG